CTAATCATCATGGTAATTAACATCAGTAATTATTGACAGTGCCACAGACGGCGGCGAGTGACGGACAAAAGAGTCGGTTCCTTTGTTGGAGCACTTTGATGTCAGCTTCCAGGAAGAGAAGCGTCGCTTCCGCTGTTAAAGAGTCCCACCGACGTGTCATATACGGAGCGAGGTAAAGGGCCAGGTTGACATCATACACTCGCTAATGCAGACTGCCAACCGGCAACAGCAGTTGATCACCCCCATCCGTCCACCCCCCCCCCACACACAAACACTCCAGTGCCCCCCCCCCTCGCATCTCCTCTCTGTTTGCCAGGAGTGCACCTGCAGCTTATTATCCAAGCCTTTAGGTTTATAATGTAGCGCAGGTGCCAAAGTGCCAAAGCACCACTGCAACACACACACACACACACACACACACACATTAGTCAACAAACATAGCAGGCACCAAAATGGGCATACACACTTACAGATGTGCAATGATTCATTAATACTATGGCAGGAAAATCCTACAGCATTGTTCCCTCTCAGTGCTGGGAAACACATGGAGCACAGGGAGTAAAGTCAAATTAAAGGGGAATAACGCTCACTTTAAGAATTTATACGTAAAATGTTCCTCAACACAACAAACAAAATGACGGAGACATAGTCGAAATGGATGTGTATATTTTTCAAACACTCTGGGTAAGTATAGTGTGAGGAGTAATTCAATCAATAGTGTGACATGATTCATCATGAGGATGGTTCCTCTCCACTTTATGACTTGTTTCCCCCATGTGTGGCCTGCATTATTTGTCCGATGGAGGAAAACCAAGAAAATAACAAACCAGTGATTTGTTGTGGTTTGAAGTGATACATATTCATATTATACGGTGTGACATGATTAAAAAATGATGGAAAACACTGTTGTAACTAGGCACTGGCTCAGAGGCAGACATGAACTAATATAACGATCTAAATTTTTGGCAAACTGGATATGAACAATAATCACCTGACCATCACTTATACGACAAGTGTTACACTGCCAGTCAGTCAACTGGAGGCAAATTAAATTTAAGAAATTAATAAAAACGCAACATCTGTCTTCAGGTGACACTGAACTCACACGTGTGCAAGCGTCAACACTTGACAGTGGGTGTGCCCGACGCTGGGTGCTGGCACGATTGTCAACAACAATTGTCACAGTTTAATTCTTAGGTTACACAACATTTTACAGCTTTTGTGCCATGCTAGCTGTCCCAAATTCAACCGCAGTGGAAAAAATCCAAGAGAATATGGTTGTTGTGGAACAGGAGCAGTGTTAGCGCGAGGAGAAGAGCTAAAGCTGGAGAGCAGGAAAGTAAGTCCTCCTCTCAAACTGAAAGAGCACGCTCTCCAATATAGAGAGGGGGAAAAAATCCATGCAATCCTTAAGAGAAGTGAACAGAAGATTAAATCAACCACCACATGATCATATACCAGGTTCACCAAGTTCACCAGCTGCCGCATGAAACGGTGAGTTCTGCTCAACTTGCACCACGTGCAGCACGACGTAAGGGAACCACAATGCAGTTCAGCTATACATGTGGTCGTCCAGTTCAAAATGAATGAGCAGCATCTCCGCCTGAGAGGTCAAAGGTCAGATTCGTGTCCCTCGAGCTGTTGGGGTTTCAAAGTGTTGCTCAAGGACGCTTCAGCAGTTCAGGATGCTTGTACCAGCACACGTGCGTGACGGCTGGTTACCCTGCCTCTCTGTGACATTCAACAATAATAATTTGAACAATAATAAATTCTCCTTATTCCGAACTAGGTCCGGGGCAGCCCTTGGCATATATACTTTACGGTGCTAAACTCAATAAATAAATTCCTTTACTGTAAATCTTTCATGCCAGGCGACAGTATTGTGCTGCGGGGGAACATCTGCTTGAAGTCTTTTAATGCCTAGCACACTGTTTATTGATATTGTATATGTTCGGGGAAATAGAAACATACAGTGATTTAAAAAAATAAACCACAGGGAGCTACAGGCGGGCTGAGACACTGACCACAGGCACCCCCTATCCAGACGCAGTGACAGACCTTGTGGTGACATCTGCTTTTACTCAGGGAGAGCACTTCAGCACTTAATAAAGCATGTAATCACGCTGCTGTAACTTGGGAGCGGACAAAGCGACGCAGGAAAGAATCATATGGTGACTTTTCCCCCGTCTTCAGAAATGTCTGTTTCTGCTTATCTGATTTTAGTTTATCAGCAATTTTTACATTAAGACTCAAACAGCTACTTGGCTCTTGATGATTGATTACAGGTCTTTAGTGCACAAGCAATAAAGCCATTAACAACAAAAGCAGTACTGAAAAAGGTGTTGGTCTCCTTTCCTACATACACCTGCATGCAATTTTCTACATGTATGTGGACAGAAAAAAGGAAGGAGTTGTAGTTTTTAAGCACGATGTAATTTAGGAGGGCGAGAGCTGCACCTCACGACCAACAAAAGG